AATAAGTATATATATATATATTTTTTTTTGTACGTTTTAAGTTATCCAATTAAATTTGTAAACTTATTTTGTCGTTTTATTAAAAAATATACTATAGTCAATTAGCTGTTGGTTTTTTTTTTTCAACATATTTGTACTTTAAGATGACCGTTCGATATCACAGCGATTTATCGTCGGCCAGTTTTCTTGGGTCGACATTAATGATTCTGAGATGGAAAGGAAGTTTATGGAAAGCAGTTTATCAAGAACTAATTGTGTGGCTAATTATTTATGCAATTTTATCCTGTACCTATGCTTTTTGGCTTAATGATCATCAAAAAAAGTTACCATTTCTGTTATTTAATTTTTGCTTTTTTTTTTTTTTTGTAAATAACAATTGTTCAATTTAACTATACAATAACTGATTTCTGCAATACTTTTACAGTTTTTCGTGGTTACTACGATATCATTAAAAAAAAGCAGTAGAACAACTTCTTTTTACTTCATTTATTGTCTACTTAAACCTTGTTTCCGGAGCTTTTTTATAAAGTATTTTTAGCAACATTTTACAGAACTTTTGAACAAGTGGTCAACTTTTGCAACAGATACGGTGAACTTATTCCACTAACATTTATGTTGGGTTTTTATGTCACTCTGGTTGTTGAAAGATGGTGGGGTTGTATTACACGTCTGGGTTTAATTGACAAGTATTGCTTTGAAAACGTTTATTTTGTCGTCTTTTTCTATCCAGTTTTTTTTTTTATGAATCTCTATCAATCCTAAGATAATAACATTAGTCTGAGCAATTCTGTAAAGTGTTATTAAACACCAACCTAATATACTTCTTTCAGCTAATTTTTTTTCTGGTTTTTTTTATACTTTATCAACTTTCCTTTCAGTAGCAGTAGACAAAAAAAAAAAGATTTCTCAGTTAGTAAGTGGTTAATGTAAAAGTAAAAAAAAAAAATTATTACCAACAGTAATGATAGCAACCGATTATAGTGTAGCAGTGTTAATTGCAAATCGGATACGTGGTGAAAGTGAACGAGCCGCATTGATTCGTTGTTCAATTCTTCGTTATCTGACGCTGATTCAAGTGATGATCTATCGAGCAATTAGTACAACTGCTAGACGTAAATTTCCAACACTGGAAAGTTTGGTTGAAGCCGGTAATTCAACAATTCTATTAAATTTTCTATGCAAAAATTATTTACATATTTTATTGCTAATGACAAGAAGTTGAATCTAACCAAGTTAAAGGGTATTTGGAAAAAAATGAACTGGCACGATTTCGAGAAAATAATTTTTGGATATGCATACAATGGGCAATGTCATTGGCTCGTACAGCACGAGATGAGAATATTATTCAAAATGATTTTGCACTCGAAGATATCTTTAAGGTTTTTCTACTGAATTGGTTAAATTTTAATAATGTCTAACAAAAAAAAGAAAACTTTTGTATAAAATTTGTTTATTACATATTTATAGGTATAATAAAAAGTTTAAAGAAATAATTCAAATTTTTTGAGCTATTTTATCAGTAGAATATGTTAGTTATATTTATTATATAGGTTTTATTTCATGACCTACTAGACTGTTTTAACTGGTAATAGCTATCAGTTTATAGGTGCTTACAGACTTTAGACAAAATCATATTATTCTTTATCTGTATAGTTGGATACCGGTACCTATTGGATATACACAGGTATTATTTTCTTCTGCTGCTATTTCTTTTGTTTTTTTTAAATTATCATTGCTTTGCTTTTTTCTTTTTTTTTTTTTCTTCTGCTTTACAATTTACACTATTTCAAACAGCTGTTATTTGTAACTGTTGTTTGGTCATAACTTTTAAGACCAATTTTTTTAAAAGCTAGTCAATAGAGTCTAATTTTTTTTTTCTTAGGTTGTATTCATCTCAGTACGCTTATATTTCCTTATAGCAGCTATTGGACGTCAATATAATGCACATAATAAAACACTATGGCCAGTAAGTAGATTGATTAATGTTGTTAAAAATTTATAAGTATCAATTGTCAGCAATAATGTTTTAGCATACAATAAACTGTCATTTTTGATTTATCAATAAAATTTAGTATATTAAACTATAAAGCTAACGTTCAGTTAGCAGAATTAAACAATGAATGATTTGTTCAAGTATCTGTCATTGAACTTTGAACAACAATGATTTATTCCTCTTTTCAAAAAGTATTAGTTTTGATTCAGTTACAGCTAAAATTCTTGTCGTCACAGAAATCACATAATACCCTAACCTTCCGCTGAAAAACTTTTATTCAATTTATTTTAATCTATTAACGAACACTTAATTCTTTTTTTTTCTTTATTGTTTCTCTTCTTTTTCAGGTTGACACTTATGTGCCAATAATTACCATTGCACAATTCATTTTTTACGTTGGTTGGCTAAAGGTACAATCCTTTTTTTCATTCTTTTTTTTGCACTCAGAATCACTAAACTGTTACTAATTTATCGAAGTAAAAAAAAAAAAAAAAAA